AACAAAGTTATAGGACCAGGTTGACTGCGGTGCTTGATTGTACTAGACTCCTCTTGATGCAAGGATTGTCATTTCGTGGTCATGATGAATCGGAAGAGTCTCTTAATAGAGGAAATCTGATTGAGGTATTGAACTGGTATGCAGCTCGTTGTAAGGAAATTAAAGAAGTATTATTTAGTAATGCTCCTGGAAATGACCAAATGACTTCACCAACCATCCAAAAAGATTTGATTAATTGTTGTGCTGGAGAGACGACAAGGGCTATTATCAATGAGATTGGTGATTCTTTATTTTCAATTTTAGTTGATGAGGCTCGCGATAATTCTATGAAAGAACAAATGGCAGTCGTTTTAAGGTTTGTTGATAAAAGTGGGCGAGTGAAGGAGCGTTTTTTGGGTATATCCCATGTCACTGATACTTGTGCCCAATCACTGAAGGATGCCATTGATGCAATGTTTTCTACACATGGGTTGAGTATGTCTAGTCTGAGAGGTCAAGGCTATGATGGAGCAAGTAATATGTCAGGTGAGTTCAATGGGTTGAAAGCTTTAATTCTTAGAGAGAACCCGCATGCTATGTATGTTCATTGCTTCGCTCACCAACTTCAGTTGGCAATTGTATCAGTGGCACGTAGGAATTGTATGGTTGGTGATTTTTTGGACGTACTTGCTATTATTGTGAATTTGGTTGGTGCATCATGTAAGCGTGTAGATGCTCTTCGAACAAGTTATCAAGCTAATATTCTGGGTTGGGATACTTTATTCAGTAGGGTGATTGAGTTTTGTGTTGATAGACATATTTTAGTGCCTAATATGGAGGATATTGTAGTGGTGAAAGGTCGACCTAGGCGTGTAGCTCAACAGGTGACTTATTTTCATCGCTTTTATGTTGATTTGTATTGTAATGTGATAGACTCAATCTTGCAAGAGTTGAATGATCGATTTCCAGAAACAACTACTGAGCTCTTTACTTGCATTTCATGTTTAAGTCCAAGAGATTCATTTGCAGCTTTTGATAAGGATAAATTGCTACGTTTTGCTCAGTTCTATCCTTTGGATTTCAATAGTGAAGAACTTTTATTACTTAGACCTCAACTTGATAAGTTTCTTTTGCTTGTGAGAATGGACGAAGCTTTCTTTAATCTCAATAGTATATCCTGTGTAGCTCAGAAGTTGATTGAAACAAGAAGTTCCTGTTATTTTCCATTGGTTTATAGGCTGCTCACCTTGGCTTTGATATTACCTGTGGCAACTGCAAGTGTTGAAAGGGTATTTTCTGCTATGAATCTAATCAAGAGTGATTTGCGCAACAAAATGGGTGATATCTGGTTGAATGACAATTTGGTGGTTTACGTGGAGAAAGCTATTTTTAAACAAATTGAGAATGAGGCAATATTGCAACGTTTTCAAATTATGAGACCCCGTAGAATACAGTTGTCTAAGTTTACAGTTACAGAGTAACTGAGTAAGGTTGTATTGTATTTTTTTTTTTTGTTTTTACTATTTTGGGTTGTATCGAAGTATATTTTCATATGTATACAATTTTGACATTTTAGTTCATTTACATATATATATTGAATAACTTTTAATATTATGTAACCAAATTTTAATAAATGATCGAACAATTACGATTGTCGACAGTCAACGATCGCCGGTCAACGGTCAAACCGCCCTAGCTGAACTTGAATCCTGGATTCGCCACTGACTAGCAAGATGAAAAGTGTTTTAACCAAACTATAATAACAGAATGTAACTCTACATTTACCAATAGTTATATGACAATACGAATGTCAAATAAGAAAAGATAAATAAAAATGAAGAAAAATGTATTTGTTCTATTAAAATCTTTAGCAACCAATTTTGAAAATAATTTATTCATAGGTTTCATGGTAAGTATGAATGTAATTTAATATTTAATATAATTAGTTCTCGTTTAAACTTATATTTAACTTTCGTTAAATACATTATTATAATGTCGAAAGGTAAATCATGGATTAAAACCGAACCAAACCGCAAATTATGTTTTAGTTTCATTCGGTTCAAAAAAATAAAATAATTTGGTTTTGTTTGGTTTGGTTTGAAAAAATTTCAAATCGCATAAAATGATTTGAATTGAAAATATAACACAAATCGTCAAATCGAACTGCGTTCACCCTTAACGTCTGCTAAAATGTAGTTAACATGGTTAAATTATGAGACCAGCCCACAAAATTGAAAAGACCCAATTCAAAATATTTTATGGGCTCAATAAAAGACCCAAGTCATAATGTTTTATGGGCCCATTAAAAGGCCCAATTCATTTATCCTCATATACCTAATAGATACACAGAAATTGTCTTGCACCTCTCATCAGTTGCCATTGTGTTGCACCTCTCATCGCCTGCTTCGACCTGCACCTTTGACGACCACAAGTAAATCTTCAATCAGCAAAACACCACTGGGCGGAAGTTCGTGTGAACGTGAGTGCCTTTAACAGCCATTGTCGGTTGCAATTGGGTAAGTGATTTACATTTTTTTTTTCTCTCTTCAGTTTATTGCTGGTTCTGTTCTATTCGAACCAGCCCGGTATTTTCCTCCAGCTGTATGGTGGTGATATTCTTTGGATGTTTTAATTCTTCAGTTTCTATAGTTTCTCCCATTTTAATTTCACTTCCCAGTTGTCGACGACTTAACAAAAGCCATGTCTCATTTCAAAATATGGATTCAAACATTCATGATCTCCATGTGAATTAGTTGAACTACTTATAACTCATCTTGTTGTTTCTTAGTACCCAAGGCTTCGATGCATTTCGCAATTGCTTATTGATGGTTATGTTAGCATGTATGCCTGTAAGGTTGTGGCTGTGGTGGCGGAGAAGGGGAAATTCAGTTAATTCATTACCTTGTGTGATATGGAGTTACTACCATATGAGACCAACAATTAATTCATTACTTTAACTGAAATATTGAATCTAGCTAAGAGGACTTCTTAGTTTAACTGGTCAATTTCATGTGCAAGTGCTTAAACATCGAAGTACTTGTTTATAATGATCTATCATAGTCAATTCTGATAAACAGAAAAATTACTGCTCAACTTCCTAAAACCTTAATGCTGACAGAGAAAGAGATACAATAACATTCTGGTTTATATAATCAGGATCCCATCTTGAGTCCTGGACGATTTGAAATGTGGAGGACAAATAAGATCCTATAAATTAAAGAGAATTCTCAATATACAGATAGTCATAATGAGCAGCTATAGCTAGGTGAATGACTGATGATATTGGTGATATCTTTTGCTGGTTATGATCTGGAATTACGATAGTATTTAATATTCATGTCTATATTTGTCATAACTCGCATGGCACATAATGTATGTTTTGTGCTACTCTTCTTTTGTTTATAGTCTTGCTTTAATTAGTGACATGAGTGAAGTTCTCTGCATTGTCGGAATGATTGTCACAGCTAATGGGATTCATACTTCTTCTGAGAGATTAAGTGTATCACTTTTTATTTATTACACTGAAAGTGTTAAATTATTAAGGAGATTCATACTTGTTGCCTGAGATATGAACTATCTCTAGTGATACATTTTCATGAAAGTGAGAAACATTGATGATCCATGCAATTTTCTGTTGGATTTGGTTCTTAATGACTTTTGTCCATTTCTTTTCATTGATCATTTGGTGTGTTTTCTATTTATTGATCATTTGCTTCAGAAATCACCATGTTAGCTGAAAATTTCTGCTCCTCGATTATCTTCTCTATCTCTGTTGCTGTTTTTTCACATGAATTCTACTTTTGAGTTAAGTCTTCTTTTTATTGTAGATAAATACAATTCTCTATATTTGATTGCTATTTATACTTCTGATTCACGCTTAATATATGAGCCATTTGGTTAAAGAAGTAACTCCCACGTACAAAATATGGGAAAAGAAAATTGAAATTACTTATAGCCATGGTGCAGGAATCCCTAAAGTCAATGCAAGACTTTAAGAACCAATGCAATTTTAATTGGTAGCCACGTCATTGCATTCAAGATAATGGTTAAATTGAAAAAACAGAAAAATTATTAAATGATGTCTACCTAACAGTAAAACCTAATATTTTCCCTGGCTGATTATGCTTTAACAGAGCTTGCTGTGTGTGTATACTGATAAATGGCGAAATTGGTGCAGTCAGTATGTTCATATTTCTGTCTGAGGATGTAACGTTTGAGGTTGATGATCTAGAGTATGCCATCTTATTGGTGCTTTGAAATTTTATACTACTAATAAACGATAGATATGGTGCAGTAAGGATGTTTATGTTTTTGCCCGAGGATGTAATGTTCGAGCTTGATGTTTTTCAGTTAATGGTTGAGATTGATGTTTTCGGCTAAGGATTTAACGTTAAATGTCAATGTGCTGTACTATTGTTAATTTGAGAGGGCTAATACTCTCCTCTACCACACTTCTGCTCTCTAAGTTTTGCCTCCTCTTTCCTTCCCACTTCCTCTCTATTTATAGCCCTCCTGTAACTACTCTATCCACATCAGCCTCCCCTGTTATCAGAATTCTGTTGGTGCCAACTCCTCCTCAATTCTTGTTGGTTCTTCTAGAAGAAGTGTACCCGATTTAGAGTCTTATCAATACCCCCGGGGTCCAAAGATACCTTGTCCTCAAGGAGGAAATTGGGAAGTATGGTAGGAATTTCTTGCATCTTGCAACCATCATTTCTCTTCCACAAACAAGAAATAATCTACTCTGTCTGCATCCTCTCTCTAGTTCATTAAGGGCCAAGCACCACAACTCCTGCATGGAAGCTCCTTTTCCAATTGCTAATGCAGAATCTTGGTTAGTCTTAACCCCATCAATCCTGCCATTGACACTAACCTGTCTAGCTCAGGGGCATTACCACCCATCGAACGGAAACATTCCATGCCCACATTACCTAAGCGGAGAAAGGTAGCTCACAACCCATTCACATATGCATTTGAAATTAGAAACTAGTCAGCCCATACTTTCAGAACTCGTTCCTTAAGGGCCTTAGCTGTTATCAGTCCTATTATACCATGATACAAGTCATTAAAGCTTTCCTTAATGTCGGGTAGAGTTCCTCCAAATTGTTAGAATTAAATCATTAATATGCACACTACAATAGATTGAGATCCACCATTTCCACTACATACATGATGAAAATGAGGACATAAAACATCGAATGGTAAATAATAGTGTGAGATTCTTAATGTTACAAGACGAGTTCACAAAAGTTTTAAGGAGTATTAAGGGAGGTAAGGACCATCCCATTTTAAAATGGTCCTTTCAACATACTAATATAATCTTAGATGCCCCACTTTCTTTGTATAGTTCGAAGTAATGTGTTTGATATCTATGGGTACTTGGGGAAAATGGGACCGCTACTAACTAAGCTTGATTAAGAGAGAGGGGAAACTTATAAAGACCATAATGATATCTATAGATGCCCCATGTTTTTTTCCTTTCTCTTTGAAGTTCTTATGAAGACCATCATGATATCTATATTTACTTAGCAGTGGAAATTCTAAAGGTGTTTATACGCTTGGTGCCTTTGTTTGGTGGCTAAAAAGGTGATCTTGAAACCAATTTGAGTTGAACATTTGGAACTTCAAAGGCAAGTATAGGAGTTAATGAGCAAATGATATGTGAGGGAAAACATGAGTCCTTGTGCGGTACCAGTTTTGCTTGTACCAAAAAAGGATGGAACATGACGAATGTGCGTGGATTATAGGGCTATCAACAAGATAATGGTAAAGTATCGTTACCCTATACCTAGGTTAGATGACATGCTTGATGAATTACATGGTGCTTGCATATTTTCTAAAATTGATTTAAAAAGCGGGTATCATCAAATTCGTATGTGGGAAGACGATGAATGGAAAACGGCTTTTAAAACTAAATATGATTTATATGAATGGTTGGTTATGCCGTTTGGACTCACAAATGCACCTAGCACTTTTATGCGTTTAATAAATCATGTTTTACGTGCTTTTATAAGAAAATTTGTTATACTTTATTTTGATGACATCTTAATCTATAGCAAGGACCTAAGAGAGCATTTGGAATATTTAAAATATGTGTTAATTGTTTTAAGGAAAGAACAACTCTATGCTAATATTAAGAAATGCACGTTTTGTATGGATAGAGTTATTTTTCTTGATTTTGTGGTTAGTGCTAATGGGGTAGAAGTAGACGATGAAAAGATAAAAGCTATTAGAGATTGGCCGACACCCAAAAGCATAACGGAAGTTAGGAGTTTTCATGGTTTGATTAGTTTTTATAGGCGATTTGTGAAAGATTTTAGCACTATCACCGCACCACTCAAGGAAATAGTTAAAAAGAGTGTAGGTTTTCATTGGGGTGATGAACATGAACTTGCATTTAATACTATTAAAGGTAGATTGTGTGAAGCACCTATTTTGGCATTACTTAATTTTAATAAAACATTTGAGATTGAGTGTGATGCATCAGGAATAGGGATTGGAGCAGTTTTAATGCAGGATCGGAGGCCTATTGCATATTTCAGCGAGAAATTGAGTGGAGATGCTTTAAATTATCCTACATATGACAAGGAACTTTATGCACTTGTTCGAGTTTGGCCGAAGGAGTTCGTAATACACACTGATCATAAGTTACTAAAGCACTTGCGGGGACAAGGTAAATTGAACAAGAGGCATGCACGGTAAATGGAATTCATTGAGACATTTCCATACGTCATTCGGTATAAACAAGGTAAGGAAAATGTGGTGGCGGATGCGTTGTCGTGAAGGTACGTATTGCTAATTACTCTTGATTCTAAACTACTTGGATTTTTAACATATTAAGGAATTGTACGAAAAAGATGTTGAATTTTCGGATATTTATTTGTCATGCATAAATGGGGCGGTTGATAGGTTCTTTAGGCATGAGGGGTATTTATTTCGGAAAAATAGGTTATGTGTTCCTAATTGTTCTATTCGGGAGTTGTTAGTAAGGGAGGCATATAGTGGTGGATTGATTGGACACTTTGGGATTCAAAAGACTTTAGATGTATTGAAGGAGCATTTTTATTGGCCTAAAATGAAAAGTGATGTTGAGCGAATTTGTAGTCGATGCATAGATTGTAAAAATGTTAAATCTAAGGTTTTATCTCAAGGTTTATACACACCTTTACCTACACCTAATGAGTCTTGGGTTGATATCTCGATGGACTTTGTTTTGGGTTTACCTAGGACTAAGAGATGTCGGGATTCTATTTTTGTGGTTGTAGATAGGTTCAGTAAAATGACAAATTTATACCATGTCACAAAATTGATGATGCCACGAGCATTGCTGACTTATTCTTTAAAGAGATTGTGCGTTTACATGGAGTTCCTAGAACCTTAGTGTTGGATCAGGATGCCAAATTTTTGAGTCACTTTTGGAGAGTTTTGTGGGGTAAGTTAGGCACTAAGTTACTATTTTCTACAACTTGTCACCCATAAACGGATGGGCAAACCGAGGTAGTGAATAGGACTATGACATAATTGTTACGCACAGTAATCAATAAAAATTTGAAAAGTTTGGAGGAGTGTCTACCATTTGTTGAATTTGCATACAATCGAGCTGTTCACTCTACTACATCATATTCTCCATTTGAAATTCTATATGGTTTTAATCCACTAACTTTTTTGGATTTAATTCCTTTACCTGTGAATGAACGTGGTAGTTTAGATAGCAAAAAGAAGGCGGAATTGGTTAAGTCGCTCCATAAAAAGGTAAAAGCGCAAATTGAAAACAAAAGTAAGTAAGTTGGTTACGTCGTAGGCGAACAAAGGTAGGAAGCGCGTGACATTTGAACCAGGAAATTAGGTTTGTGTGCACTTTAGGAAGGAGCGATTTCCTGAGCAAAGAAAGTCTAAGTTGCAACCGAGGGACGATGGTCCATTTCAAGTTATTGAAAAGATAAACGACAATACTTACAAGTTGGACCTTCCAGATGAGTACAATGTTTCGGCTACTTTTAATATATCTGATCTCTCTCTATTTGATGCAGGTTCAGATTCGAGGACGAATCCTTTAGCAACTGGAGATGCTAAAGAACTTAGTACATGGGAAACGGAAGATACTCACATTATTTCTTGAATTTTGGGGCTATGAAGGCACACATGGTGAATTTTTTTATGCTATTTCACTACTGCAAAGGAGATGTAAAAGCACTTAAAGCACATTTATCATCAAGATAATAATGCACGAAGATTTCAATTGGAGTTAGAGATTGCCAATTACACTCAAGGTAATCTTACTATTGAACAATATTATTCTGGTTTTCTAAACTGGTAAAGTGAGTATTCCGGCACAAGTCATGCTAATATTCCTATGATAACCTTATTAGAATTACAAGAGGTTCAAGAGATTAGTAAGGAGATAAGTTTCTTATGAAATTACAACTTGAATTTGAAGTTGCTCAGGCAGATTTATTGAATCAAGATCTGGTTCCTTCTTTAGATGTGTGCTGGGGTAAACTTTTGCATGGGGAACAACGACTAGCCATCCAATCTACCATGGGATATGATATATCCTGATTTAATATGGTGAAATTTGCATATGTTGTCCAAAGACAAGCAAAGGGCAAATCTTAGTGCTTCTGCTGCAAAGGATACAATCATATTGTTCATCATTGTCCTAAAAAATTCTACAACATTTCTAACCAGCTAGGGCATATCACCAAGGAGTGTCCCATGCGGCCCTAGAACTGAATAGCTTAAGCCTTTCTAGCTGATATTCAGGATCCTTTTCTCGAACATTTTCAAGCTAGAGCCAGTCAATTCTTATCCCAGAAATGATTTAGCAGATGATTGTTTTACCCTTTCTGCCTTTGGTCCACAAGATGAGGGTCAAGTTGTTTCTTTTCCCTAGCTTGTTGTTCAGGGATGTTGAATCATATGACATATAGTTTTTATTCCTTGCATAGCATTCAGTGCTACACTGGCACACAACACATTTAGATTGCTAATGATAGTACCCTTCCATTTATTGCTACTAATGATATCAAGTTTTCTTTTGATAATTTCTTTTCGTATTTTTGGGTTATCAACAACTTGATTTTGGTTGGTCAATTAATTTATAATAAATATGATGAGTGTTTCTCTTGTATTGGTCGTCTTGTGCAGGATAAGAGGTCGAGGAAAGTCGCAAATGTGCTTAAAGTAGAAAATCTACAGTTTACTATTCTTATTGTTATATTTTTTTACTTGTACTAGTGTTGCCCTTAATTATGAAATTTGACATAAAAGATTAGGTCATCTCAATACTTTGATATTTATGAAATTTGACATAAAAGATTAGGTCATCTCAATACTTTGATATTGTCTCATTTCTTAAATTGTGGATTTTTAGGTAATAAAGATCAATCTTAGTTTTCAAATTTGATTTTTAATTGTAATACTTGCAAACTTAGGAAAAGCAAGGCCTTTCCATTTTTCGTTCATGACAGTCGTGATGATAAATGTTTTAAGATTTTTGATTTTGATGTTTGAGACGTGATATCCCTTACTTCACACGATTATTATACATACTTTGTGACCTTCATTAATAATTTCAATCGTTAGACTTGGATATATTTTCTTCGTTCTAAGGATGAGGTCAGTACCACTCTTAAGACTTTTGTAGCTTACATTAAGATAGAGGTTTCTTCTCGTATTCAGATTTAAAGGCCTCATAATGAGGAAGAATGTATGTCTCATGATTGTTAGACTTTGTTGCAACAAAAGGACATTCTCTTTCAACAATCTTGTCCATATACTCCTCAGCATAATGGGGTAGTCGAAAAAAAATCATTTATTAGATGTTGTCCATGTTATACTCTTGGAATATTCAGTTATATCCAAATTTTGGGTTAAAGCCCTCTCCACAGATGTACACATTATTAATTGACTTTCTATTTTATATATGGATTTTAGCCATCCTCATTTCTGTCTATATGGTACGCATCTTGGTTATAACATGTTATAAACTTTTGGGTATGTTTTCTTTGTTCATTTGCCTACTCATGAATATTAAGCTTCCTATTCAATCCTTACAGCATGCTTTCATAGGTCATAGTATTGCACATAAGGGTGTTATGATGGTGTAGCTGCTCATTCTTGTAAATCTCGAAATGTGGCTTTCTTTAAAATCTATATTACTTTTAGCAATAATTTATGTCCTCTTTTAATTTGCCTTGGCTAATTATCTTTGAGGATGGCTCTAGTTCTATTGAACATTTTAAATCATGTGTGGTATATCAGTGGTGACGACCTCCAGCTCCCTCGCCCATTTTCGACCCTGATCCCGTTCCAGACTTTGCTTCTTTTAGGTGATCCACTCGCATTACTCATCCTCTAGACTGGGATGGGTTATTCTACAACATTATCTCATATCATAGTCCCTACTTCTTATTCTCAAGTAGTTACTGTAAGTATTATGTTCGAGATCCAATCAACTTTGGATATAAATACTTTTATATATAATTAATGCAATTTAATGGTAGATCTATTGTTTAATTAATAGATAATTAAATAATAATAGAATTTGTAGATTTAAATCTTCGTAATTTGTTAATTACAAGGAGTTGGGATTGTGAGATACAAATTACATTTGATTGAATCTTAAATCACCGTGGTCGTAAGTAATAATGAGATACGGATATCGTTATTGCGGATAGACCATCACGTATGACATTTCTTACTTGTGAAGTAAGTAGCTGATTAAAGTGTGGTGACATTTAAATGAATACGTGGATGTTTTGTTATAGAACAAAACATTGGAGACCCCCTGAGAGATTCCACATGGATAATTATCTGAGTGTCAGTGGTTAATCTCTAACGTTCGGTAGTAGGGGTGGGCGTGGGTCAGTTCGGTTCGGAACCAAAATTTTTGGGTATCTAGTAAATGGAACTGTTCGGGTTTGGTTTCATTCGGTTCTGTACTATAATTAATTTTTTTTAACATTTATAATAACATTATATAAATACAACTAATGATACATTCAATAGTTTTGGAATGTCAAAAACTAGTAGACTACCTTTATCAAATAATCGCTACGGTTAAAGTTTCGGTCGGCGGAGGCCACATTGTTGACCGACGATCAATTGTATAGATTTTGGAATGTTAGCGAGACTGCAAGAGTGAGTGTGAGAGTGGAGACAACGTTATGCACTTTAGTGTAGGTGTTTAGGGTTATTTAGTGGATTGGATCTTGTTGGGCTAAAAAATGAAATAATAAAATGGGTAATTGTGCCAAAAATTAGAAATGAAATAAATTATTGAGCCAAAAATTTGGATTTAGAAATTATTAATTTGTCAATTTGTTTAGAAAAAATTAAAATTAAAATAATTTGATTTACTTAATATAAAAGAAAAATTAAAAAGATTCAGTTCTTATTCGATTCTTGGTCTAGAACCGAGAACCGAATCATACCCGTCGGTTCTCAATTCTAATACCCGTTCGGGTATTTAATTTGACAAGAACCGTCGGGTTCGGTTTGGTCGGTTCGGTTCGGGAGATATGCCCAGCCCTATTCGGTAGTGGAATTGGTCCTTTAACTTGAGGTCGTCATGGTACCCTATATGAGGACAGTTATACTTTGGCGGTATTGGATGTTGCTCTTCAAAGGGCCGCTAATACGACATCGTTCGGGTACGTCAAGAATCGTATGAAGGTTGTGATTGACCAATAAAGGATTCGTTACTCTTAGATAGTAGGAGATTATGATGTGCATTTCATTCAATTAAGTTGATGATGAAATCCTTGGCCAATGTGTACTCATAAGTCGAAAAGGAGTTTTCGACTTATATTGACTTGATAGTGGAGTGAAAGATATGATTGATAATTGAGATTGACACACTTCCATATCTCGTAATTGATCGGATCATATTGACGAAGGGATTATAATTTCACGGTAAACGAACAAGTTTGGTTTTGTCACACCACATGACATTTTCCGTCACATATATTGTCCTGACACATTGCTAAATGTCAATCAGGGACGGCGAGTGTGAATTGACGATAAATTAAAAAGGTGTTTTAATTTATCAATTTTAATTAGATCAAAATAATATTTAACGTCGTTAGATACCGTGGTCGGGAACCTAATGGGTTGCATACAAAAGAGAATTGGAAGATTGTAAATTGTCAATTGGTTAATTTAACAATTGTTGGATAAATAAATTAATTGGATTTGTTATTTATATTCCCGGATTAATTAATTGAATTAATTAATTCACGGATCGAGTTTAATTAAATAGATTAATTAAATATTGGACCGGATCAGGTCAAACCCGTTTGAGTTTATATAAATACATGGCTAGAGTTTGAGATTCATATGGTTTTCATTATTCTTGTTGGCACAAGAGAGAAAACCCTGGTAGCTCTGTGTGAATCATCGTTGAAGGCTGGACAATTGGATAGCTGTGGATGGCGAATCAAGATTGCTGGAACGAAAAGAAAAGTAAAAAGTTTGCAGAATTTTTCAAAGGTACAATCTTTATCATGATTTCTATCTAAACACAAAGGGATTCTCGGTGAGAATCGAAATAATTTTAATTTTTCGCTGTTCATGTATAAGTAGATTCCCAACAGTGGTATCAGAGTTCACTTTATGTTTGTTAGAAATTGTTTAATATATTTGTGCAATCAAAAGTTGGTTATTATCCAATTTTCATATTTCTAGCAATTGAAGAAAATTTAATTTTCTTAAATTTTGGAATTTGATTTTGAATATAAAAAAGGGTGGGTGGGTGAGTGGGGGGGGGGGAACGAAGGGCTGGTGTCGCCCCTTGAAATTGGAAAGAAGGAAAGGGGTGAATTTTAGGGTTTTTGCTTCACTTTCGCGTGAATGAGATTGAGACAGGGGCTTATGTTGCAATTTTAGAAATTTTGAGTCTCTATGTGCAATTTCTATTCGGGGTCAATATGTAAATTTTTAAAGAAGGGCTATTGTGCAATTTTGTAATCTCGAGGGCCCTGTTGATAATTTGCCAGGGGTCAGTTTGCAATATTTTAAAAGGGGACTTGTTCTGCAATTTTAAATCTTGAAAGGATTCGATGTTAATTTCAAACTTGGGTCAATTTGCAAGTTTTCAAAATGGTTTTGAATTTGAATTTTGAAATGGTTTTAAAATTAATTTTAATTGGATTCGACCCATAATTTTGATTTTGATCCAAATTAAAATTTTATTTAAAATTGACGATATTTTTTATTTTCGTTAAAATTAGATTTTGACTTAACCATTAAACTTTGACCCAATTGAATTTTTATTTTATTTAGGAGTGTTATCCTATATTAAAATATTAATTCAATTTAAATTAGAGTTTGACTCTAATTTAATACTTAATTAAAATTTAATTTTAATTAATTATTTATCGGAATATATTCTTGTAATTAGAATTGGATTCTAATTTCACATTTAATTAAAATTTGATTTTAATTAAATTGTTTCGTCCTAAATTTCTTCTTGGAATTAGAGTTGGATTCTAACTTGGTATTTAATTAAAATTTTGATTTTAATTAAATTAATTTGCCCTTAATTATTGTAATTAGACTCTAATTTTGTAATTTAATTAAAATTTGATTTTAATTAAATTCCACCGCCTTAAATTGTGAAATTAGAGTTTGGCTCTAATTTGATTTTTAATTAAAATTTGATTTTAATTAAATAATCCCGTCATATAATTGTTGAATTAGAGTTGGACTCTAATTTGGTATTTAATTAAAATTAGATTTTAATTAAATATGCTCGCTAATTAAATAATTGGTTAATATGATTAATTAATTATTTAATTGTTTCGATCCTTTTGTTTAAAAGAGTTTAGACGACTTAATTGCTAGAAACTTGAAACTTAGATGTTATATAGGTATACATTTATGTGATGAATGTATTATTAGTGGACGATTATGGACTCGACCATATGGATATGTTGAATGGTTAATTTTTAGTCTTGTTGTTTTCTGGGCCTGCGAGCTCTTAATTGTTTTAGGCCTACGAGCCTGTTATTATTATTATTATTCTGGACCTGCGAGCTCTTGATCATTTTGGACCTGCGAGTCTATTATTATTATTATTGCTGTGGGCCTGCGAGTCCAATTTCATTTAGGCCTGCGTGCCAACAAGTATAGGATACAGGTTGCAATTGGACTAATTGAAGAGACAAGAAGAGGAGGAGACCATGGAGATGGTGCATTGATACTGTTCAATGCTATACTTTTTAGGAATTGACCAACTAGTCTTCCTTATGGCTCGGGAAGACTAGATAGTAAAAGTCTATTATCGTCCACACTATTATATTATGTTATATATATATATTTATTTGCATGATAGACGTCTA